TCTCTACACCCCTTCAAAGAACTTAAAGTAGGTAACATTTAGAAGAGGAAATTGTTTCTTAGGTGTTAATACTTAAAACGTGAAATATGGGCAAGCACTCCACCATCGAGTTAAATATCGCAGTAGTTAAAGTGGGGAGTGTTAGGTAAAATATTTGCATCTAAATATGTCAACATGAAACATGGGCAGAGTCTAGCTAGACACTTCCCTGGACAAATAAAATTGTCCGGCATTAGTTAAAATAACATTTAATTTTAACAAAGTGCTGAAAATTAGGCTTATTGGAGTATTATTATTCATGCATTTTTAGGACTTAACTGTCAATAAATCAAGTTGCCATATAACACATCAAATTGACATTTTTATCTAAACCGACCCACTTATCTGTATATATATATGAATAAACATTTGAAACTTATGAAAGTAGCAGTTGATATTATTAAAGTCATTAAATTCTCTCAAGCCATGTTTAGCTGGGACGTGCTTAAGTGGGCACATGATATGAGGATTGAGTAGAAATGTAGAATGATGCCAATTATAAAGCTATATTATTCTAGACAAGAAACATTGTTACAAATTATCTGTCATATTATTCGATATATAAACTAGGGCTGAGTCAAATGCAAGCCTTTGTAAAAACTAATGTATTTATATTATCGTTTTAATTCAAATATTGTCGCGGCAAATTCAAATTTTAAGCCGGAACACATGGTTCAAAATTCACGAATGAAGATTGCAAATATTTCGTTTCAAAATTGCTCTATTATATAGAAAACATAACAATATTCTTACCTGTATGCTAGGCAATCATCCCTGATGTTTTATCCTCGTTAAAAGGCATCGTCTTGCCTTCAAATACTCATTTTTACAGGCAACAAAAAATCAAAATGAATAATAAAAATTTCGAATAAATATGGCGGCGTCAGTGTGATGACGCTATCCCGGGAGGCTTTGCGCGTGTTGTCGGAAAACTAGGTCCCAGCCTGTCCGTGCGAAACCGCGCTCGTCGATCGTGAGAATTTTCGTTTGCATGTTTATATGTCACACGACAAACACTATAAATATTTTGTGTAAATAGAGTTTCCATGAACTCATGAAGAATTTAAAATTAACTCGGACGGCAAAATTTTGACCAGGTAAACTAAATAAATACAATTGAAATCTAAAATCAATATCAAAGTTTAGCCACTGTCACTGACACTGTGTCTGTGGTGTAATTGACTAAAGGTCTCCCCTCTTTACGAGTAAAATCTGGTGTTTGACTGAGTAAAACAACAAAGGCCAACAAAGGTATGGATGCATTACAGAAATAAATTACATGCAGAATTGGATAACAAAAAACACTGCCAGATCAGATTTGACCAATTTAGAATGGGTTACTGATTTGACCAATTTCGAATTGGTTATGGATTTGACCAATTAAAAAATTGGTTATGCATTTGACCAATTTCCAATTGGTTATGGGAATTGACCAATTAATAATTGGTTACCCATTTGACCAATTTACAATTGGTTATGGGATTTGACCAATTAAAAATTGGTTATGGATTCGACCAATTTAAAATTGGTTATAGAGATGACCAATTTAAATTGGTTATGCATATGACCAATTTTAAATTGGTTGGGGATATGACCAATTTTTATTGGTTATTTTGGGAAATTCAACATTGACTGATCAAAAGAAATTGGTTAAATTTACCATTTTAAATTGGTTAAAAATTCAACCAATTATGTATTGGTCGAAATGACCAATATTTAATTGGTCATGTCAGACTAACCTATTCTTCAATTGGTTAAAATGACCAATTTAAATTGGTTGCAACCAATTTAAATTGGTCATTTTAACCAATTTGTTTTTACTGTGTGTATTATTGCTAAACATGCCGTTTTTGAGAATTTGGTTTGCAACTAGGTTTCAACATGCAATCACGCCATCAACCCATTGAAAACATTAGGTCACGTCAGCTAGTTTCCTATCCATTTATTTTATTATCCATGGTTTAATAGAGGTATGTCAATTCGCGAGATTTTTTCTTTTCTTTTACCTAAGCTCAAATTATTCACAGCGAATTTCGACTGTTAGCAGTTATATAAATACGTTTGTAAAACGAGTAGTAGTCATATATATTAAAGAATGCACCTATGGCTATGAATGTTTAGCTCCACGGTTAAGAAAATTGACTTTAAATACCGTCGCTGATAAAAACATTGCCAATTCGCGTATGATTCTAGCTATCTTTCAGCCAAATACGTGCACATTCAACCAGCTCCAAGTTGATTGGCTGAGCAAATTGAAACCATCACACAAACATTGAACTTTCTCGGTAAAAACATTGAACTTTGTCATGAGAATAGACATGTTTTTCTGCGACTGTTCCTCCTTGACCTTATAAGCGATGGTATATTTAATTTATTAATGTATAGCATATTCATCACAAACTATTAATATGTAAAGTGGAATGTTGTGTATACACGTCTTATAATAATCAGGCTTTTTAATATAAAGATATTCCTATAGCAACCCAGTGTGGATTGTTGTCTGCATATACAGTATTAACTTACCAGCAATTACATATGACATGCATGTCAACCGACTTTGTACAAGGTATGGCGGTATGTAAAAATATATACCTCTGAGATGTATATATGTACATTGTTAGCATAATTTGAAATGATCCTACCGGCCTTCATTAATATATTCACCTGGCTGTGTCACTCATTTCAGGGTATATACTATTTTTTTCAATAATGCTCACAATTTCTTCTTATATTATATAGTTTTGCAGTTCTGACTGAGTACAATCTTAGTCATTATGTAAAAATATACCTCTGAGATCTCTATATGTATACTGGGCCGTAGGAAGCTCTTTTCGATTGGGGGGCTGAAAGCGAAGACCCGAGGAAATTTTTAAATTTAGAGTCTCTGAAATGCCATTTCCTGGACTTTGGGGGAAGATTTGACAGAATTCTGATAGTCAGAAAACAGCGTTTTAGTATGTCAAAATTTACAATTTAGTGGTACTAAATGGGCGAAGGCGTATTTAATTAACTATATATTGAATAAGTTGCAGGAAAGTGTGGGTAATACCTTCATTCTTTGCAGTTTGTCACAGATTAAATTATAAAGGTCTGCATGATTTTGAAAAAAGAATGATTATTAGCAAATTATTGGGGGCTGCAGCCCCCTTAGCTCCCCCGGTTGCTACGGCCCTGCATGGTATATATGTACATTGTTAGCATAATATGAAATATTCCTACCGGCCTTCATTAATATATTCACCTGGCTGTGTCACTCATTTCAGGGTATATACTATTTTTTCAATAATGCTCACAATTTCTTCTTATATTATATAGTTTTGCAGTTCTGACTGAGTACAATCTTAGTCATTACAAATGAATGGTGTCATCTGACGTATTAAACAAAAATGTCAACAAATGGATTTTGTCTCCCCATCAGATTGCTCAGTTGTTCTGCAATAGGGGAAGCCTTGATTGTGCCATTAAAATGATAAATGGGACAAAAACTGACTTAGTATTTCTAAATATAAAATTGTTATTAAATTCTACATGTCCATTGATTCATTCAAGTATTATTATTGTTTATACATATGGTATTGTACAGTATTCAGTGGCAAGCTAGCCATGGCAAATGTTCATGCTATGCTACTAAACCGGCAATGCCAATCTTTCAAAACTTGCACTGCATGACCTGTTGCTATGGATAGCTTCACCACTGACAGTATTACAATTATACACACAAAAGCAAGAAGTTATAATTAAACATTGAAGGTATTCGTTAAATTCATATAAAATCGCTCATGCTCAATTTGAGACTTCTCTGTACGTACTTTGATTCCCCTGATTTTCCCACAATCAGTGCTTCGACAATTCCTAACGGCCAACGACCACGTTTTCTCTCGTCTGTCGCAATAATCACTACGTCTCCTACCGTTGGCACTGCTCCACTGCATTCCGCTTTCGAACGATGTCTCTCACGAAGGCTACGCAAATATTCCTGGGTCCACCATCTCCAAAGCGCTTCTTTGCATTTCATCAAGTGTTTCGCTCGTTTTCTAAGGTCACCGTCCTCAATATTATCTGGTTGCAATTCGGGTAAAATATTACTAGTCAGAAACAACATCGAACTTGGCGTTAACACTGGAAATTGCACGTCATCCTCCACGTAAGATAATGGACGGTTATTTACCGCCACCTCGACATCAAGCAATACTTCCTCTAACTCGTTCCATCGCAGGAAACCGTTTTCAATGGTCTTGCTTAACGCTGCTTTCACGAGCCCAATCATCGTTTCGAATTGCCCGCCCCACGTAATCCAATGCAGAACTACCGAGCTGTCCGACCAACATTGAAATTTCGTAACCGGAAATCCGATCAATGCCTCTTTTACATTTGAAGCCAAGTTGACTGCCATATGCGCCGCTACCAGTTCAAGCCTCGGAATCGTTAATCCTCGCTTCGGCAGTCTTGATCTCGCCGCGACTAGGCCTTGGTTGGTCACCGAATCTTGCACAACTACGGCATAGACACACGCCGCAACCCCATTACCGCTCGCATCTCGAAAGGAATGCAGTTGGATGGCTTCAATTAGCTCTTGATAAACTGCCAAAGATCTCTCAGTTTCCACTTGTACTGGAAATTCACTGTTCCACTTGTTCCACAACATTACGAGGGTTTCTGAAAGTGGTGCATCCCAGGCGTTCTTGGTGTCACATGCTGCACGGTAGATAAGTTTACCAGTAAGCGTTAAAGGAGATACGAAGCCCAAAGGGTCATATATCTTGGCGAGCTTTGCCAAGACGCCCCGTTTGGTAAACACCGTCTTTTCAGTGAGCATTGTAACAGCGACTGTATCTCGTTCTTTATTCCACGCAAGTCCGAGCAAGCTACTATATTATTATTTTTGTATTATTATAGAAAGATTACACATTGAATAGCTAACAGTAGGTAACTAAATTAGAACGCGCATTACATATATATAGAAGATATACATCAATTACTGAACTATCTAAATTAGTATTATAAAAGTTTCAATAGAGCTAGTTATATTAAAAAAAGAGAGTTATTAAAAAGGTTCAAATTGGCGAACCAAATGGGCTGATCCAAAAACTATCACTACGTGTTAAAAATGTTTCGATAAAAATATATAAAGTTATATTATATTATAAAATAGAGTTATTATAGAGTTCAATTGACGAAACGATTGGACTGTTCCGAAAACGTTCTGTTCTGTAGTGGTAATTGTAAAACAATTGACCATTCTGACGTGTAACCCTTTGCCGTACCTTGCAAAGTTTATTAGGAAGAAGATGGTGCAGTTTGTGTTGCGGGTCAGACATTTTACTGATAAGATCAATGCACATAGTATTGCGACGTTGTTCAAGCGTATGCATTCCAGCTTTCATCAATAACTTTTCGTAATCTTTTTCGGAATAAATTATTCTCAAAGCCCTTCTTTGTACTTTCTCAATACTGCTGCTCTGTGCTTTAGTAAGGCCCCCATGCCAGACTTGCGCTCCATATTCAAGTGTCGGCCTGATGGCAGAGATGTAAAACCGTTTCATATCAATCTTGTCAGCACCGTATTTCTTTAAAGTTTTTAATAAAAAGAGTCGCTTAACTGCTTTCCCTATTATAGAATCAGTATTAGTTTGCCACTTTAAATTATCGTCAATCCATAAGCCCAATAGTTTGAAAGTGGAAACCCTTTCCAACGTTGTATCATTGAATGTTAGTAGTGGAATAACTGTTTTGTTCTGACGGAAGTCTAACTGCATTTCCTTACATTTTTTCAGGTTCAACTCCATTTTTTGAGACGTGGCAAAATCCATAACTTTCATAATATTATTGTTCATACTCCCAACTTGCGTACCCGAGACATGATCACGGACGTTAATAACCTCTGACAGTGTTGTATCATCCATGAAAAGAGTGAGGTCATCATCACCATCATCATTATCATCATTGCTCGAATTAGTCAAACTGCTCTCGGTATCTTTTATCACTGCCTTCAGTCTGTTAATGTGAACGACGAACGCGATTGGACCAATACGACTACCTTGGGGAACTCCCCCATTAATCATGCAGCTTGTAGAAAGTTCGTTACCAAATCTTGTCACTTGCATCCTCTTACTCAGATATGACCCCAACCAGCCAATAAGCCCCGGTCTGACTCCAATTTTACAACAGTTGTCTAATAGCAAGTTGTGATCAATAAGATCAAATGCCTTGCGAAAGTCCAAAAACACAATTCGTATTACTCGTTGTGATAAGTTCAACGCTTTATTCCATTTGTGTAGAAGGTGAACGAGCGCAAGAACTGCTGACGAGCGTGGGACACCACCATACTGTTCCTTACAAATTTTAGACTCAATATCGTCATACATCCAATCAACCACGTAAGACTCCTGTATTTTTGAAATTGTGCTAGTGAGAGCTATTGGTCTTATTTCATCCAGATTCGTGCACGGTTCCACTTTTGGTATAGGTGCTAGGCGGAACTCTTTCCACAGTTTTGGAAACACCTTCTGCCCAAATGATGCATTAAAAATGTTTGCTAATGGGATGGCAAAAAAATGCGCAAACATTTTGATTATCTTGAGGTAGGGGTCGTTTGGACAGGGAGCTTTGTGAGACTGAATGGACAAAAGCTTTTTCGCAACGCTTTCGGGTGTAACAGTCGGCAAGACATCTGAATGACCGTACGATGACCATCTGGATTGAATTTCTGGGAAATCATTTGTTAGATCTGCGAAAAACGTATTAATCATACTTGCAGCATCACTATCTTCGAGTTTGGAGTCTGATCCCTGCTCACTGAGATTGATATAAGGTTTCTTCTTTCCAGTCAGTTTCCAGACCTTCTTCCACCACATTCGGGCATCCCCGTTGATATTCAGCCTTCCAATGTTCATTACATAATAGTGCCTCTTTGCCTTTGTAATTTCCGATGCTACTCTATTACGAAGTTTCCTAAACTTCTGCATTCTTCCTTGTTTGTATGCGTTATCTCGCTTCCTTAGTAACTTTTTTATTTTTGTTGTTACAAAAAATTTTATCATCGGAGTGCATTCGAACTGATCTCTCCGGGAAATAGTAATTAATCATATCGTTAGTAGCTCTGGTGAAATCCTCAACCTTCTCATCTACGTTCTCAAGGTTTAGTACGGTTGACCAATCATATTGGGCAAGACAGGAACCAAATTGTTGCAGGTTATATCTTGGCGTTGGACGAAATTTCATTTTCTTCACAATGTTTACCGAGCGCTGCTGTGATTTCGCCATCCAAATAACCATATTATGGTCTGAGGTAGACAGTGGTGCAATTACTTCAGGGGGGTTATAATGTGAGCTCATGTTAGTAAAAATAAGATCTAGGATATTGGAGTTTCGTGTCGGATCCTTAACCACTTGCTTTAAATTATAATCACAATAGTCAGAAAGACACTTCATATCAAAACCGTTGCTGCAGGGATTAAAATCTCCAGCCACAATAAAACCTGTTTCTGGACTTTCAGATGATACTTTGTCATAACACGAATAAAAATAGTCATAAAACTTTTCTAAGTTTACTCGATCAATTGAGGGAGGAAGGTATACACAAGCAACAGCAATTCTCTAAATTGTTCGTGGAAGCCACTTTGGACGCAGAATTAGCCACTGACATTCAAAGCTCGAGTCAGAGAGATCATCACGAGTTCTTATTGAAAACTATTTACGGACATAGATTCCACAGCCCCCTCCAGAACCGATTTTCCTATCCTTACGTATCAAAGTAAATTGTGGGATGTTATATAACAACTTCACTGGGTATATTGTCCGCTAGCCATGTCTCCGTGACAATGATGATTTCAGCTTTATGCTCGTTTAAATAATATTTTAATTCATCAATTTTCCCCATAATTGATCTCGCATTTACGAGAAGCACATTCGGTAAGGTTCGGGCGGTTGGGTGATATGATGGACTCTCTTTTTTAAGGTAGATCAGGTTTCTAATCACAGGGTAAGATTTTTGTTTGTAGTACTGATAGGGACGCTCGTCACTTCGGTTTGTAGTAATTACTGGTATTGAAAAACAATTGGTTGCATTAGTGGTGGGTGCTACATTGACAATATCTGTCGGACCAGCTTTAAGTGGTCTAGCCATTCCAATGAGCGCAGCGGGGGCCTCTGGTTCGTTTGGCGCCGCCGAAAATGATATTGTGATTCTTTAATAGAATACTTAGAACAAGATGTTAAATGAGACGCCACACAATCACCTTGTTTTCTTGAAAGTGATCTTACCGGGTCACTTTTCTTTCTTGAAAGTGGTTTGTAAGGAACTTCAATAAAGGGCAAAAAATTTAACCATGCATTGGATTGCCGGGGTTTCATGACTTGCTCTACTTTACTTGTGTCCACAGTTCTTGTATTACTGGGCCTTGCTATTTCTTCAATATACGTATCAGATCGCATATAATAATTGTTGCATAAATTACCTAACGATTTTGCTCGATCCACTGGACTAGCCTCATTTATTACACTATCATCTGCTTTGTCTAAACTTACGTGTAGATCACAGTTAACCAAATTGGGAGCAGACGACAAAGGATCATTGACATTATTATCGCTTGGATAAATAATTTGCAAGTCAGATTTTACATTACCCAGCATTACCCTTATAGGGGCCGAAGTGTCATCAGCATGCGCACTTTTTTCGGGTGGACTGTCACTAGGAACAGCACAAGCATCGGCATTCGCAGTTGAGATAGCATATTCATCGCTGTCATCGACATATGCAGTTGTTCCAGGCGAAAGGCGACTAGAAATAGCACAAGCATCTATATTTGCAGTTAAGATATTATTTCCTTTAACTATTTTTTCACATGGGCTCAGGTCACTACTCCAATTTGTTGTATCCTTTAGCGACAATCTCCCCTCCAACTCCGAGATACGTGATTTAAGATGTAAATTTTTGCAGGTCAATTTGCATAGCTCTTGTTTATTTATATTTATGGTGTTATTCTGTTCAAAGAGTTTGTACGACAACACTTGCAGCCGAGTTTCAACGTTATCTTTAAATGTTAGAAATTGAGCTTCGGGTTTAGGCAGGTTTTCTTCAGAGCGTCTTTGCGCTAGATTAGAGAAGTCCGTCGGCTGGACAGGATTAGATAGCTCGACAGAGGCGCTATAGAAAGACTTGTCAATAAAGGCTTCAAGTTCCTTTATAGTAGAATTGTTTGGACTTAGAAGCATATCATCAGATTTGGATGCATCGCCCAAGACATCGGTTTCAATATCACATAGATCGTTAATTTAGACAAGTTGATTAAATCCTCAATATTATTCATTTGACACATCAAGGGCTGCATTGGCGGCGATGCAGTCTTACTTTTATTGTCAACATGCTTTGTTGGTGAATTCTTAAGATTTAATGAGTTTCTTTCATTTTCAATTTCTGACAAATTCGCTTGAAGCTGTTTGATAGTGATATCTCGCTCGTTTATCGCTCTGTTTTTCTCGTCTAAAATTATGGAAAACTCCTTAAGCAAGGTCTCCATTCTGGTGTCGTACGATATTTGGCGGTTTTCGGTAGAGTCCAAAACCTTACTAATAGATTCTATAATCGCGTTGGTAGAGTTAATAACATTGTTTATAGATGTTATTTGTTTTTGCATAACTGTTATGTCCGCTTTAACCCCTTTCATATCGTTGGTAAAAGTATTGTACGACCAACTGAGATGTTTCAACGGGGTCGATTCAGTAACTGCCGGGTTATTGTTAGCGATAATTTCGCATGTTTTAACTGGAGATATCTCGGCGGTCTCTGTTTCAAATACCGAATCCGCTATGTTGGTCATAAAATCAGTGTCCGTATCCGTGGTTGTTTGGCCAATACAAGTTATATCTAAGACACTCACCAGATAATTCTTGAGCAGATCACCATCCTTTCCTTGGAATAATAGCGAATTCTGTTTGCCCGGGTACCACGTCGCGATCAGATCAAAATTTACGCTGGTAAACCTCTTAGCTTTACCACCAGGTGATGACCAATTGCCTCGTAGGCCGACAATATTTTCAACGAAATTCTTTAGTGATTGAAGATCCTGCGACCATTTAATTCGGGTTCCGTCATACGTTAAGTGACCACAACCTTTCAAAGACCTAATAATGTCTAAGTCAAGGTTCAGAGACGTCAAATTTCCGATTTTTGTAGAGCTCGAAAAGTCTTGACCGGCGGCCATTTTGTAAATAGATATATATTACATATATATATATATATATATATATATATATATATATATATATATATATATATATATATATATATATATATATATATATATATATATATATATATATATATATATATATATATATATACAAATATATATATATATATATATATATATATATATATATATATATATATATATATATATATATATATATATATATATATATATATATATATATATATATATATATATATATATATATATATATATATATATATATATATATACATATATATACAAATATATACATATATATACATTTTAATTTGTAGTAATATTATTTTGGTAGTAATATTATACATATATATACATTATAATTTGTAGTAATATTATTTTGGTAGTCGATTTTAAAGACAGTTTTCCATTAGGCGGAATTTTGCGCGCGGAGCGGAATTTTTCTTTGTCTTATGATTTCTCGGGTGGAACTAATTAGAAAAGACAAAGAAAAATTCCGCTCTGCGCGCAAAAATCCACCTAATGAAAATCGGTTACTATTTTGCCAATTTTAAGCTACGGTATCCAACTTAGCTGTAAATTAGCCCCCCGCCAAAAAACTGTTCCGCCTCCACTGCCTTTTTGACCTTTTTTGTTTGGTGGTTTATTGTTCAAGCTGGTTCACCATTATTGGTAGCGGTACTGAACGGATAAGTGGAGTGTTTAAACGGATGAATGGACCATTTGCATTATAGACTAAATTTTGATCTAGACAAAAATTTCATCACAGCTTGAAAGAGCATCACAAAATTAGTAATATTCCAAAGTTTCGTTGTGAAATGTTGTAAAATGCGGATAATATAGCCATGCGAAGTTTGCCGTTTTTCAGTCATTTTGTATTACGCACGGGAAATTGACAGCCCAATCGGGTGTTGGGGCATCAATTTCCCGTTTGTAATACAAAATGACTGAAAATTGCAAATTTCGCAAGGCTATATTATCCGCATTTTACAACATTTTGCAACGAAACTTTGGAATATTATACTAATTTTGTGATGGTCTTTCAAGCTGTGATGAATTTTTTGTCTAGATCAAAAGTTAGTCTATAATGCAAATGGTCCATTGATGGCTAAGCCACAATTTCAGCGGATGAACTTCTACATTATCGATAAAGAAATTATTATAATATCTTGTTGGCTTTAAGTGTAGGGAGGCGAGAATAATTACGACTTTGCAAATCTCGAAACCAGAGTTTGCTCGTTTTCAGAGCAAGACCAGCACCTAACCTGCGAACGGGCATACTCGGGCTACGAGATCGGGAGCTTGACTGAAGGACTTATTTTTTGTAAATAAATACCTCAGTGAAAAGAACTTCAACATTTCGTGAGAGCGAAAGGCTTTTGTGTAGAATTTTTATATTTAGGACGAATGTTTGGTATTATGCTGGGTTTTCCATGGTTTATCATTATTGCCACCAGTACTAGTTTGTGGCATCCTGCAGGGTTTGGGGCATCTCACTTGATAGCAATAATAGTCGAAGGGTTTTTATAGATGAGAAATTAGTCGAATGTAAATTCCGAATCGATTCCTGCCAGAGGGTCTATCAGGGTCTTAGCTAGCATTTTATATCTTGGGCGTGTTTCTAAATTTCCAGGGTGTGCCCAATGCCAATTGCCTTGCATGAATAGCAAAAGACTTGGTGGGTCGTTTTCTTACTTACCGACCCCACTTTTTTCATTGCTCGCTTTTTGATAAAAAAAAAACGCGTGCTAACTCGAACTCCTAAGGGAAGCGAAAAATTGCTCGAGTTAACGGGTCGGGATTTCGTTTAGTTAAATAATTAATAAGGCACAGCGTTTTATTTTCAACACAATTGTGAGACATTACGGGACTATATATATAAAGAATTTACAAAGTTTGTACTGCTGTTACCTAAGTTAAACAGTCCCTATCACAGTGTTCAATAGTTCAGTACATATATCAACAGTATACCTATAACAGTATTGTAGTGTCTAGCATAATTAGCATAATTAGCATAATGAACATTAATTATGGACCATGCACGAGGAAGCTAGATCAGTAATGATCAACTCCACTTGTTGAACCATTCATCTCTTTTATATCGACTTATGTTACGTTTGTATTATATTATATACAATAAGACCCCGCGTATAAGAACCTAGATTTTAAGAATTGCGTGGCTATAAAATTATTTAGCTTATTTAGACCCCCTTTATATAAGAACCTGTTTAGGCTAACATTTCAAACAGGTTCTCATTTTATTTTTATCACTTTAGGAGTTGAAACTAAAAATTTACAAATCAAAGAAAATAAACCCTTCACAAAGTATAATGAAAATGACCCGGCAGTCAGAGTCCTGGATATGTCATAACAATAAACAGCATGTCTGTTTAAACACATCAACAAGAAATAACTGCATGTACCTACACCAACCGAAATTGAGTCGCTTTTTCTTTAGAAAACTATAAGAACCTATTTAATTAAGAACCTGTTTAGCCTAATTTCACGATACCATTTATATAAGAACCTGTTTAGGCTAACTTGAAAAATCTAGGTTCTTATACGCGTGGTCTACTGTATATACAGATTAAATTGTTGTTGTCAGAATAGGCCTAAGCTTCCGATGCTATGTTCTGACATTTTGAGCCGTTTGCCGATCCGTGTCTCAAAAACACAGTTCGAAGTAACAGCTAGGGTAAAGTTGACCAGGGTAAAATGAAATTTCTTCGAGTTAGCTATATTGGAGTTCATGTTAACTGGAGTACATTACTGTAAAAATTGGATGAAATCCATGCAGGGGAAACTGCCTTTAGTTCGAGTTAGCATATGCCTGCGCAATCATTGTTTACAACTGTTGATGTTCTTTTGTGAATTATTTGGTTGAATTGCTATAAACGACAATTGCCCGCCGATATACCGCAGGTATATATGTCATGAACCAGCAGAATGTTTCTTTGTCTTTCCTAATTTAAGGCCATTTTCCACTAGGCGGAATTTTCCACGCGGAACACAATTTTTCTTTGTCCTTTCTAATTAGTTCCACCCGAAAAATCACAAGACAAAGAAAAATCCAGTCCGCGCGGAAAATTCCGCGTAGTGGAAAACGGCCTTTGGTGGGGTTCTATACAGATTAGCTTCACTGTACTTTTTACAAATTTGCCGAAAATGAAAGAGAAATTACTTAAATTAATGTGGCAAAATGATCGGCCATAATAACGACCACATTGCCATTGGCGTTTTGCTTCGACTGGTAGTGTATTGTGGTCTAAGCTGGTTGTCGATTATTGGTGCCAGTGCAAGTTTGTGACAGCCGTTACACACGGTCATCAGTGAAGCACTTGAATTCAATGTACATAATTGATACAGAAATTATTATAATATATCGTATAAAGACGGCTTTTCATTAGGCGGAATTTTTCTTTGTCTTTTTCTAATTAGTTCCACCCGAGAATCACAAGACAAAGAAAACTTCTAGTAGAAAACCGGCTTAAGCGAGCAATAATATAATTTAGGAGTAACATATGTATTGTAGGGAACGATAATATCTATATATTTATGGTAATATTATTTTCGTAGTCGATTTTAAAGCCGGTTTTCCACTAGGCGGAATTTCGCGCGCGGAGTGGAATTTTTCTTTGTCTTGCGATTTCTCAGGTGGAACTAATTAGAAAAGACCAAGCGCCCTGGAAAAGACAAAAAAAATTTCCGCTCCGCGCGCGAAATTCTGCCTAATGAACTGATCGGCTTTAGTCAGAAATAAGTGCGCTAATTATGCTAATAAGTTACTATTTTGCCGATTTTAAAAGCTCCTTTAAGTACTGATCGCTTAAATGTCTTGTATGTACTTTTTGCTAACTTTCTAATGAGGTAGTTTATTTTTGTGGAAAGTGAACTTGAAATTTTGCATTTTTAGTCAACATAGTACTGTAAATGACAAAATTTTAAAAAATTCAAATTTTCGGCAGTAAAGTCAAAATCAGGACTGCAAACATATGTAGTCTTGTTCACCAATGTTTGAACTGTTTGCTCGCGTGTTTTTTTTGCATCGCATGTTTTCTGCACTGACTGCCGTGATGTAACTGTATGCATGAAATTATGCATACATTAAATAGGACATAGTTGGGCTCCCTGTGGCTCGATAGTTTTCAGTCTGCTACTCTGCTTTAAGCTTCGCAGGCCCACATATGCATGACTTGCAGGCAAAGCGACCATAATGGAAAACGGCTTCAACCCTAACTTCTGTTATTAACACTATAGTCGTATTACCACAGAGTACTTACATACAGAGATCTCACTTCAAGTTAATTTAGCGTAAGGGATTTTTTCATTGATATGAATATAACTGGAACGCTACCTTCAGATAAACTGCCTATCGTTTTCTTGAAGCCAAAATTTGACCCGCGTGGTTATATTGACCATTGAACTGAATAGAACTGGAACGCTACCTTGAAGCCAAACTTGAAGGCCAGTCCCAGTCTTTTCATGCATACGACGAGCGCTCAATCGGTCTCCAGACCAGTGAGACCACTCTCCGGACACGCGTGTCTGAAGGTCAGATTTGGCTTGAAGGAAAAGATAGGCTGTTTATCTGAAGGTAGCGTTCCAGTTCAGTATATTCATTTCAATGTGATCGACTGATTGAGCGCTTTTGGCATGCGTGAAAAGACTCAATCTCATACTCTGGGAACGAGATTGGAAAAGACTAGGACTGGCCTTCAAATTTGGCTTCATATTACCGGTTGGAGGTAACGTTCCAGTTCTATTCAGTTCAATGATTTTTTCAGTTCACCATGTTCTTAGCAAGTGCCCTAAAGAGAGGCCGTCACCCCCTGAAAACATATTGAAATTTAATATTCCAGGGGGTGAATGCCTCTCTTTAGGGCACTTGCTAAAAACATAGCCGCCAGATATGCGCAGTAAAGACTACCTATAGCTTACGGTTTTCCTACAGAAGTTAGATCTCTGCATGCAAGTACTCTGTGGTGTTACAATGTCCTAAACCAATTAATCTTGGTACACCTCTTATGTTCCTGCATGTTGCAATTTAATTAATCTGATGTCGTGATGATGGCATGTAATGAAATTGAAATATAATTCATTCAGTTTTGTCTTGAATTTGCCTCACATCTTGGCGTCATTTTTGGATTATGTTTTATTTAGTATTTCTTTAAAGCTGACAATGATTTTCATTTGATTTACGTAATTAAATTTTACACAAAAATCATTTCTAAAGCAAGGAAAAGTACGTAAAAGTTGTAAAGGTATCACTGCCTCTACCTTCTAATTGTCTATACTGAGATCTTCAAATTTAATTTAACTCATAATGAGTTTAATTAAATTTGAAGTTTACTCGTAGTACTTCATTTGGCGTACAGGCTTGTAAGTATCAGCGATGCTTGATATAGTTTTTTTCATGACCACGAAATACTTGTTGGTCTTGTCGTATTCTTCTATAAAGATGGAAATTCCGTCCGCAACTGACCTCTTGTAATTGATACTCAGGTCGATTAATCTACTTATACCATTTTCCGCCGTATTCTCGGCGAAATCAAACAAGGACAACAACAGTGACTCGTAAAACTTAGCCATATGCAGAGGCATCTCGACGAAGTAGCCAACGATCTCATTTTTTCGAACGTTTTTCAATGCAGCGTGTTTGTTTTTAAAGCGATGTTGAAAGGAATCTCCTGTTATACCGACATAGAATGGAATAATATTTCGTTGATTGTTAACATCGTCTAGGTTCAAATTCGGGTTGGTAGGCTGGAACAAGAAGTACAAGCCTTTTTTGTTCATAAGGCCAAGATAGTTTAGTATGTTAAAATGAGTAACTGAATCCGAGCCCCACATAGGCACATTACCGTCCTTGTCCACATCACCCTTCACAGGCCCATAACAAAAATCAGCAGGTTTCCAAATCTCTCGTAACAGGAACAATAGAAAGCCTCTGTGTTCTTCAGCAGTAACTGAAACGGAGGTGAAATAGTCAAACTGCTATTAGTAAGTAAGTAAAAACTTTATTTCACGAGAGAAACGTATTAACCATAATATAGTTATCTAACATACGACCCTCGCAATATGTTACAACATTTACAAACAATAAAAGGTTAGATTACTATACTATTTAACATATAAGAACAAAATTAATTAGTAAAACTGATGAATATACAATTACAATTTAGTAAATATTTACAAATTTTACAAAATAGTTTATTGTAAATCTTCAGTTAGTGTTTTTGAAGAAAGGACTTAACTTCCAATAGTAAAAAATTCCAATATACCGAAGCTTTTTCATGTTGGAGCCACATACATGACCTAATAGTATATCATAGTAATCAACTGACAGATTACTAACATTATACTGCATCATTTCAACACTACAGTTGCAAAGAACTTTCCAGGTTATGCAATCTGCAAAATATTGGGAGGATATTAAAGTTCTCCGGATTGAAATATACTTTTATTGAGCTTTCGACTCGGTACTTCGAGCCTTCTTCAGAATACTGAGATTAAAATTACATATGTACATTACTTAATTAAAGTTTTGCGGTGTTGCTGCGTTCCTGTATACTTTGAGACCGTCTAATTGGCTGTTCCGCGGTTGACCTGATCTCATTGCTGGTTGAAGAATGCGTTGTCATGGTTGAATGAATTCCGCTGCTAGGGATGGCGTCATTGGAATGCTTGGATGGTTCTGTTGCGGATGTTGAAGGAAGTGTTATTTGGAAGTTAGTATTAATCATAGTGTCGTTGTTCTTAGTGGGACATTTACATGTTGTTTTAAGTTGTAAGTAAACAGTGGGAATTTCAACGTGTCGGTTAATTGTATTACCGTCTATACTGTACCATGCCTCTTTAAATTCACGTGCGTGTTTTGTTTGTGCTCGTCCTAATAGTTCGATTTCTGTCCAGTTGAAGGTATGGCAGTTGTTGTATGTGTGTGCTGCAGGTAGTGATTTATAATCGTATCGTTTTATGGCGTTTTTGTGTTCAGTTATACGTTTCAATTTTCTTCGAGGTTTGACCTATGTATCGTTGTGGACAGTCTCTGCAAGGTATCATGTATATAGCATTTTTTGTTTGTTTTGATGCAGTTTTGTCTTTGTGTTTTGTGAAATATGACCTAAGTTTATGTGCCGGTTTGTGTGCTACGTCAATGTTGAAAGGTCGCAATAATCTGGCGGTCATTTCGGATGTACTGTTTATGTAAGGTAGAGTTATTCTTGTCCTTGATTGTTCAGGTTGTTCGTCAGGTATGTTACTCTGTTTTTTGTTGCGTATTTTTGTTAGTATTTTGTATATATATATATATTTAATAGTATATATATATATATATATATATATATATA